GCGCTCGGCCTGGCCCACCTCTGTGCCATGCGGATCGCTCTCGTGCCTCGGCAGTGCCTTCCCGCCCCGTCCTAGCGCGTTTTCCGTCTGCGGGTTTTCCCGTGAGCTGCTGCCCATCTCGGTGGTTTCTCCCGCACGTGTTTCTTTGTTTCTTTCGTTCCGTCTTTACGCGAACAAGCTTTGCACGCTGAGATTTTCCCCGTTCAGAAATCGCGCGGTGGTTTTGCCAGCCGCTAAAGCACGGTTCGTTAGGAACAAACAAACGGCGGCCAGGAGGGGAAGCTGACTCGAACGTACAAAATACGCACAGTTTTTGTTTGTGTTGGTTTTTTTTAATCCCTAGGAACATGCTTCAGGAAGGTGCACACGGTAAATGGACAGTATCCAGCAGTGATGAAAGTGCTGATGAAAATTCTGACCGTGAAAAACCATCTACGTCTTCACTATCAGCTGCTGCATGTGATAAAACAAATGGGCCACAGTATCCGTGCTCTGAAGCTAGGAAAGCTGCTCACAAGAGAAAAGCTTCTCCCCTGAAGTTCACTGATAAAAGTTCTACAGAAGTACGTCCAGCAGTAAAACAGATAGTTAGCCAAGAAGGCTTAGGCTGGTGTCTTTCTAGTAGTGACGAAGAGCCTGAAGATGAGCAAAAGCAGGCTCTCAAAGGGACACTGAAAGAAGAAAAGTGTGATGCCCCCAAAGAACATCCTCTGAATCTTTGCAAAGAAGAGAATCTCTCAGAGAATCAGAAAGCAGAAGAGTATAATGAAACACCCAGTGAAGCCCAAGACGCCTGGGATTTATTGAATGGAGGGAACCCTTTCAGGTTTTTTCTCACTAAAGTCAGTGGAATTCAACAGACCTATAATTCTGGAGCCCTACACATAAAAGGTGAACAAGTGGCTTCTACAGCAGTGGGCTTTGGGGAGACTTGTTTGGGAGAGAATGCTTATTTGTAGTTTGTGGGTCTTTTTAAATGCATGTGTTGGTGTAGCTGAGGTTTTGTGTTCTAAATGTATGGGTTAGTAGGAATCTGTTCTGTTATCTTCACTTGCTCCTTTAGAATATAGTGTGTAAAGAATTACTTTACTGATACTTTGTTATGCCGCGTAACTCAGAATTCTGTTCAAATCTAATGTGTGATTAGCCAAGGCAAGTCATGCTGCTTCTTACTGCTGCTTTCCCTGTTGAGTTAATCTGGAGAAAACTGCTTGTCTTTGTGGCATATAAAGGGGTGTTTTCTTGGGAGATGATCTCCTTGAGCAGTTGTTTGCACTTGCTTTCATGCTGAATGGTTTGGGCCTAGTAATTCACTGTTAGTTGATGCAGTACTTCAGAAGTTCTGTGTCTGGGGTTCATGGGCCCACTTAAATTCAATAGAAGTGAGTGTAAGTCAGGATGGGGTGAAATCTTTGATGTACAATACTGATGCTTCAGGAATCATCTATAGTTGTAGTTTGATGTAAGAGAGAAGAGCTCTGTGCACCTGTAAACATCCCCTTCTTCAGAAAGGAAGTCATGCACATCACAACATAGAATCAGAAACAAGCATTAGTAAGAGAATTATGTACAGAACTACAATAAAATGAGGCAGAAAAAAATTGTGGTTCTTTGAAGTAGGAGAACTGATTGAAAACCCACCTATACAATTAGGCTGTAACTTTTCTTCAACTTAAAGTGCTCCCTATGAGTACCAATTATCACAAGCAGGTGTCAGAGACCTCAGCTGCTTTACTGCTGGATTTTTTTATGTGCTTTGTGAAGTTATTGTGGCTTTTAGCCTACTCTCTCTTAGTAGTCCTCCTAGGTGATTAGTTATGCTTGTGGAGAGACAGTATTTTTTCTTTGTTTAAGCTGCAAAAACAGATTTCTGTAGAACTAGGGCATAAACTATTTTGCCTATCCTAGAAGGTATTTGTAGGACATGTTTTCAAGGTAGTGCTGTGCTTCATTGGTTGAGATTTAAATCCTCAGTTGGATTAGTTTCCTGTGTTACCATGAAGGAACTCTGGATACACATGTCCTACAATCAGCCTCCAGTAGATAAATAACCATTAACAGTAGGGGCATCATTATTGGTGCTACTGTGCCACAGTTCAAGTCCACTCGAGAGGGGAGAGAGTGGTTTGATGTCCCTTTCTCAATATGATATTGGTCTTTTTCCTAATCAGTTTTTAAAACTTTATATTCTGCTTTGAGAGGATGAATTTTTTTAATAGGCATATGACCCTAAGGGATTCACAGGAGAATCAGTGACTTCCTTGAATACTCAGAACAGTAAACTTACTTGTGAATGTCTCTTACACCAAACCTGTGAAGAGTCTGGCTCTTGTGCTGTGGTAGTTATTAAACTGTTCAAGATGCAAAGTATCCTTCGCACTTTTTTTTTTATTTAATTATGCTTTGATGTTTTTAATAGATATTTTGTCTCCTCTTTTTGGAACTCTCATATCTTCTGCCCAGGTGAGTTCCCTATGCTTGTTGTTGATTTCACTTGCTTGTTTCTATTTATAAGCCTTAAACTTGATGATCCATGCTTGTGCCACATAACTGATACTGTCTGGAAACTTTGGTAAAATACAGAGGGATTTCTAAATGTTTTTAAGCTGTATGACAGTTTATTGAAATGTAAAAGTCATCTCATGGTCTGCTTTAGAATTCAGGCAGTTATAAGACTGCTTTCTCTCCTGTTTTTGAGGAATGTGCAAGTGAAAAATGTGTATTTTTGTGCATATGAAATATCTAGGGATGATATTTTTGTTATCACCTGGAAGCTTGTGCTGTCGTTCATGGCATAAGTTGCATGGCAAAGAGATGAATCATGAAGCAAAGCTTTTATTTTTTGTGCACATGATTCTTTTTTTTTTCTGTTTGTTAAATTTTCTGAGCACTAGTACTGCTTTTGAGAAACTTAAATTCACTCTTGAATTGTTAAGAGAAATGGAAGAAGTATTCAAATTCAAATATGCACCTGGTTTTAGAACATGTTGTATATGATGTAAATGGTATTGTGTGTTGACTTTTGACAGGAAACGTTTTTGCTGTTGTCTGTTGTTCTGACCAACTTCTCTTTCTCTTTAATGAGTCTGTTTTCTTTCTCTTACATACAAGTTTAACTACTGTATAGATGTGGGATGGCTTGTAAGACAGTATCCTCAGGAATTCAGGTATGTTTATTTTATGAAGATGAAATGATGCAGTTTCCAAATAATTCTGTTCGTACATGTTCCTGTTATAAGTGAATGATAAATCCTTGTTTGCAGTTGCAAGTTATTGTTACCGATTGTGCATGTGTAGACTCTTGGTTTCCCTTCTACTCTTATTCCACAGTTGTAGTTTGCTATTGATTTCCATTAAGTTGTCAAGATTATTCATATATTGATGACTGTTGAGTGGACAGAGTTCAGTATAGCTGACTGTGATTTTTATTAAGTTTGTGATTAATAGTTTATTATAGTTTCTGGTTTTCATTAATTAACACTTAGGAGGTCCCGTTGTGGACCACAGTGACAGTGCAGTATATGACCTATCAAGATGAACAAGAATGTTTTTGCCGTACGGTTTACTGAGTCAAGAGCCAGGTAGTGCAAGAGAAAGGAAGGGCACAAGGAAACTATATTTAAAGGGTCAGAATGATGTCATGGATATGATACAGTGAGTTGATGGATATTGCTGGAGGTGTCCCCTCTTAGGCCTCCTTGTTGGTACTTGTGTGGTTGCTATAGTTCTCCCCTTCCCCCACCTTACCTCTGTCAAGCATGGCCCTGGCCCTGGCCCCCTTCAAACTAGTTTTAATCTCTCTCAATGAGTCCTGTTAACTCTTGAGCTAAGATCCTTTTCCCCCTTTGAGGCAGGTGGACTCCCTTTGTTGTCAGCAGATGACATACAAACCCACCCATGATCAAAACCCCTAAAATTCTGCAGGTAGCACCTTGCCTTGTTCGTTTCTTGCCCCATCATTCCTTGTAAGTGGCAGGACGGAAGACAGCATGATATGTTGTGCTCCAGATATCTTGATCAGTTGTTCTAAATCCTTGAGGTCCCTCTTGATTGTCTACAGTCTTGTCGGGGCTTCTTTGGTACCCACCTGGAAAACCAGTGGGTAATAATCAGTGGGCTGTACCAACCTTGGAAGCTTTTTGGTCATGTCTCTTACCCAGACCCCAGGGAGGTAACACGCCTCCCTATGGGTTGGGTCTGGTTGGCAGGACCAAAGCTGAATTCTAGGAATTGAACACCAGACTATTGCCAGAATAGACTTGGCCCTGGCCTTTTCCCTCTCATTCTTCCCATCTTCTCTGTAAGATAAGAATTCCTAAATTGTCTTAGATTCATACAGTATGTATCAGTGCTTTTGAGAGCTTTCATTTGTCTGTTTCCAACAATAAGAGACAAGAGTTCCTTTCAAGGTCTTGTATTAAGTTTATTTTTTGGTGTCTGCTGTACTCCATACTTCCTGTTTTCTTTTCTTTTTTTTGAATTAAAATTTTCTAGTGCCTTTTTCGTAGAGGTTCTGTTATAGTTACTGCTTTTTTGAGTTAGCTAATAAGCCATATAGATTTTAGTGCCATCTTCCTGCTGGGTTATCAGATTTAGGTACCAGAAGTCATAGCTGTGTGAAGGAATGGTTTAGGCTGATTGCTAATTCACTGGTTGTTTTAATAGTAATCTCCTTTTATTTAAGGAAGAAGCCATTGCTGATAGTTCATGGCGAAAAGAGAGAATCCAAAGCTGAACTGCTTGCACAAGCACGGCCTTATGAGAACATTAGCTTTTGTCAGGTAATTATTGTTTGTGTCATCCTTTGGTTGAAATGAAGTAATCTGTTGCATTCAAAATCTTGTTACGGTTGAAAAGAGACATGCCTTATCTGGAAAGTCAGGGGTTATTTTGTTGTGCTTTAAGGAATATACTTACCAGGACCATAGGAATGTAGCAATGATGTTCCTGGTCTTATGTGATCATGGTAGGCTGTCACCCACAAAAGCTTGCACAGAATGGCTGCCCACAGAAATGTCACAGGGCTCATGAAAGAGCTGCTCACCTTCTCCACTAACATGTTACACTCAAATTCTTGTAATGGCTGAAAAGGAAGAATTTTTGTGTAAAGCACAGAACGTAGTCCTAGTGTCACTGTAGTATTTAGTCTCATCAAGGAATTATTATTCTGATGTTTTACATCAGAAAATGCTGATACAAATAGTCTCCATAGTACTCTGGAAATTGCTGTGAGCACACGTTCTAGCACAGGGCATTTTATCTTTGATGTTATGCTCATTCTTTTGCATTCCCCAAGCTGTGAAATTGTTGGCTTATTCCTTGGGGAGGGATGTGGTTATGGCAACTTGCCAGGTTTTCAGGATTTTGCTGGGTGAAGTATGTTAATGATCATGAGGACGTTTTCCTCTTGTTAGGAGGAGAATGATCTTGGAATTTAGTTCCTTTCCAAGCAGTCTGATAATCCAGAGCTTCCTAGATACTGCTGTACTGGTGCCAAACATAAATGAGTTCTCACAACCAGTTCTCTGATCAGGTGTTTGCACTGAGTTGTGGAGTAGCAAGAATTTTTAGATCAAAATTTCAAGTATCCTAACAGGAAATTCATGGTTTGGTATATACTGTTTCTTTTTCACACACAACAAGAATTGATAAACTTGTAAGTGTAGTTATTGGAAAGTACCAGGGGAAAACAGTGTTTGTGATAATTCTCCTATATTCATATACTGCTTCAGATTCATATAGTGGTCTGTATGTGTTTCATTATGTTACTACCCCATAAAATATTTTCATCTTGTACGTGCCCATATTAAACAGACACAATGTTGGAGCTCTCACTGGCTGACAGTAATTTCTTAACACCTGGAACTCATGTTTGATTCTCTCCCTCGAAATTCTGCTGTAAACAGCCTTTAAGAGCAAGGCACTGATGAAAAAGCATTTCTGTCTGGCTTCTGTCCTTTTCTTTGCAATGTTAGCCATTAATCTGCTTACAGCAGTATTTGTATGCTTCAGAATCACAGAATGGTTAAGTTTAGAGAGGATGTCTGGATGTCAACTCCCCTGCTCAGGCAGGGTTCCTTAGAGCCATTTGTCCTGGACAGTGGCTAGGTAGGTCTTGAATATCTACAAGGATGGAGACTCTATAACCTTTCTGGGCGATCCATGACAGTGCTCAGACACCCACACAGTGTTTCCTAATGCTCAGAGGGAAATTCCTGCATTTGAGTTTGTGCCCACTGCCTCTGGTCCTGCCACTAGGTGCTATTGAAAAGGTCCTGGTTCCCTGTTCCTTCTGTCATCACTTCAGATCCCTCTGAGCCAGACTATTCTGCAGGCTGAATAGTTCCAGCTCTCTCAGCCTTTCCTCATAGGAGACATGCTCCAGTGCCTTAACCATCTTAGTGGACCTTTGTTGGACTCTCTGCAGGGTATATCCATGTCTCTCCTGTACTGGAGAGCCCAGAATTGGACCCAGTACTGCAGTGCCTGGGCAGCACTCCCTCTAATGCAGGCAGGAACACTGTTAGTCATCTTTGGTGCAAGGGTATGTTGCTGGCTCCTGTGTCTATCAGGTCATCCTCAGGTCCTTTTCTGCTGCCTGTTTCTGAAACCACTGTTGGTAAGAGACCCAGAAATTCTGCTGGAGCAGTTCCAACAGGAGTTTCATTGCTATCTGAAGCCTAACTTGTAGGAAGTGGAGAGTGCATTGTAAAGTATTGAGGGAGAAGATAATGTATTTTGTGATCTGTCCACTAGGGAGCAGTGAAATGAAACAACATGAAGAAGCACCTCTCTGATGTTATTGCATATAGCAGTGCACAATAGGAATTTTTAGTGATCAACTTTTTAATTTTGTAGGCTAAACTGGATATTGCATTTGGAACTCACCATACGTAAGTAACCCTGTGAAGCAGTCTGCTTCTAAAGGTGACCACGGTTACTGTGACTGGACTACTAGATAGTGTCTTGTGTCTAAAAGTGATTACAGGACAGGGGGGTAGATAATTACTGTTTGTGAAAACATAATTCTGAATTCCTAATGTATGTTGATAAAATTAAAACCAGTATCTTTTATGTTCTATATGTATCTATTTCCTTTATCTGCAAGTTATTTTAAAGCCACAAAACTGGGTTTCATAACAGTTGCTGAGTCTTGAAGAAAAATTTCTTTAGCCATTTTATATTTACAGCTGACAGGATTGTTCTTGTTTAAGGAGACAAGTCAGCTGTTGGGTAGATACAAGATGTGCAAGTTAGACAATTAAAGTCTTTAAAGGTCTAAGACAGGAACTGCAGGTCCTGGCTCTGAAGTTGTGCCTTAATACCAAAACTGTAATGCAGACTTGATCAGTTATTGGCAGGGCAGACACAATGCTGATTTATTGCTTTGGTTTTTTTCAATTAATGTGGAGGATCTGGAAATGAGTGAATTGGGGATCTTCTCAGACATAAAAACTTGAATTTAATACAAGTATCACAAAGAGAATTTTGTAGTTAGAAAGCTACAGATAAGAACAGATTTAATTTTATGCCTTGTAGCAGAGATGCTTTGGTTTCACTGATTTTTAAGTAAAAAAATACTGCAGTATTTTTAAATCAATTAATCTTTTAGTATAACTTGTTTTATAAAACATGACATTGCATTAAGATTGATCTGAAATGCCAGTGTTTCTGGCAGGAAGCATTCTGACAAACTCATTGCAAATAAAGGAAAGAAATCACCATTTAAAAAAGTATTGTTTATTTCAGGTTTGGTGAGGGACATAGGATGAATTGAGGTTGCTTTTCAAATTGGTAGTTTTTAAAGCTTTAGCTTGTTTTCACTTCAGCAGTTTAAGCAGCAGCTCTCATTGTGTGCTCAGGTTTAGATTTTTTTATTTCTTTAATTACACTTTGGGATAGATAAGTGACAGTGATACTAAATGCTACATTTCTATAACCCTGTATTTTAAAGGGTTATTCTGTGTAGTGTATTTCTGAATGTATCTTCCACTGCAGGTGGACCACAGCAAGTGTTTAGCAGACCAGTAAATTGGATCCTGGTGTGTAATGAAACAATTTTGTTTGAAGAGACACTTAACAGTGAAATACGTGTAATTCCAGTAGTGTGATGTAAAACTGAAATTACATGTCAGTGACTTTTTGAGATAGTTTTGTTTTAGTCAGTTATCACTTTTATGTACCTTAATCTTGTGTGTTTTGCTGTAAAATAATTTACTGTCAAGTCTGTTTGTGCTTAGGTCAAGGCATAACACAGATGCAGGGAACTGTTTTATGGTTATGGGTCTTACATATTGTGTAGACTGTGCAGTAGGCACAGGAAAGCATGTGAAGGTAACATTAAAAGGAGAATGTACTGAGTAAATATTGGTCTAAATTCTAGCCTGATGAGCATTATCTTACCATGGGACAGCAATGAAAGTATTAGAGATTTCATTCTTGAGCATTTATTTCTATGCAAGCCATCTGATCCTTTGGGATCACTTGGATAATGCTGTCTTTATACTACTGTTGAAACTTGTATATGTAAATTTGAGCACTTTAACAAAAAATATAGACATTTATTTTTAACTCAGTTACTCCTTTTCAAACTTTCTGCTGTGGCTTGAGGTTAAATTTATGGTAGATAAATAACTTCTTTGCTATCCTAATGGTTAGCTACTTACATATCTTAAAATAAAAGTTGTCAGTTTAAGGGAAAGAAACTGGATTTTAATAAGTTCAGCTATAAGTAAAGGCCTTTAGTGTTCCTTAATTCTCTGTTTAACTATCTTCAAACAAATAAGTTTATCTGAAGAACATTGCAGATACAGGAAGTGTTCTGCAAATATTAGTTTTTTGCTTTCGGCAATCAGTTGCATGAGATGTTAAGCTGTACTCTGGAATAAAATATATGGGGATAGTCCAGTGACTGCCGTCTGAGGTTGGCAGGCACATGGACTGAAGTCTAAGTGCTTGTGTGATGCAGAACAAATCTTTAGAAAATAATTCTCTTGGAGCATTTTTATGAATAGTTAATCTCCTACTCTCACTGTACTTTACATAGATCAAGAGTTATGTATCTTTTTCTAAAGGAAAATGATGCTGCTGTTATACGAAGAAGGTCTTCGAGTTGTGATACATACATCCAATCTTATTGCTGAAGATTGGCACCAGAAAACCCAGGGGTAAGCAACAATCTCTAGCATGTGTATATTTACTTTAATACTTTCCATAGATACTGCTACTGCTGGAGATGAGATACTAGGTCAGATGTTCTAGTGCTGGAAGTCTTACACTCCTAAGATAGAGCTATTGTAAAAAAAAAAAATAAATAAGAATTGAACCTAGAATGCTGGTACCTGTTTAAGCCTGAACTCTACTTTCTTTCTCCTATAAACAGAATTAAGTTCCCAGTTGGCTATGAGCTTAAACTCAGTCTGACTGGTATAATATGTTTTATTATGCCATGCTGTCTCTTTCTTCTTAGCTATTAAGTGCTGCTTATATAGATCTGAAGCAGCTATTTAAAAATAAGAATAATGTGAATGTGCAAATATTTTGCTTTTGCTCTGGCTATATCTAGAATGTGACCTGATAAATGTTGGGCACTAGTGGCTCCATAATACAGTGTATGACCCAATATCCTTTCCTTGAAGGAATTTTCTTCCTGTTTTTCTCTTGGTAGAAGTTTTTTAACTTAATGACCAGTTTGGCACATATTTTTTCTACTCTAAACAAAACTAAGTTGCATGTTAATACAATGCCCCTCAACCTCTTATTTTTCTGCTCTGTCTTTATGGGAGCATTTTTTTAGTTAGATCTCCACAGTGAATCACAGTATAAGACTGTGAGGGGAAGCCATATGAGAAGCAGCTGAGGTCACTTTGGTCTATTCAGCCTGGAGAAGAGGAGACTGATGGGAGACCTCATGGCTACATCAGGGAAGGCATTGCCAGCCAGTCAAAGGAGGTGATTGTCCCACTCTACTCTGTGCTGGTGTGGCCTCACCTTGAATATTGTGCTCAGTTTTGGGTAGCACAATATAAGAAAGATATTAAATTATTTTAGAGTGACCACAGGAGGGCAATGAAGATGGTGAAAGGCCTTGAGGGGAAACCATATGAGGAGCCACTGAGGTCACTTGGTCTGTTCAGCCTGGAGAAGAGGGGACTGAGGGGAGACCTCCTCACTGTGTACAACTTCATCATGGAAGGAAGTAGAGGGGCAGGTACTGACCTCTTCTCCCTGGCAGCCAATGACAGGACCCGAGGGAATGGTCTGAAGTTGTGTTGAGGAGGTTTAGGTTAGGTATCAGGAAAAGGTTCGCTACCCAGAGGATGGTTGGGCACTGGATCAGCTCCCCAGGGAAGTGCTCACAGCACCAAGCCTGACAGAGTTCAAGAGGCATTTGGACAATGTTCTCAGGCATGTGGTGATTCTTGGGGAGGTCCTGTGCAGGGCCAGGAGTTGGACTCTGTGATCTTTGTGGGTCCCTTTCAATTCTAATGATTCCGTGATTTCTTCAAATTAGTTGAAAATGGCTTTTCAGAAGTGATTGTCACTTTAGTGTCCATTTTGCTGCTACTAAATAGGGTGGCAGGGTTTTGAGGCTTTTTGCTTGTCTGAGACAAGTTCTTACGAGGGTATAGGCACTGATTTTTTTTGCCTTCAAACCTTAGGGATGGTTTTAGTATCTTATGGCAGATAGCTTTTCAGAAAGCTAAGAAGGCATGAATATACTTAATTGGAATACCTAACAAGTTGCCCTCCTTGTCAAACATGAGAAATACTTTACTTTTTAGCTTATGCATACTGCAGTATTGTGCAGTATCACGAATGTGATGGTTCACTGACTTTTGTTTTATAGATTTCTGAATTTCAAGATAGTATCAATACATTATAAAGTTGATAATGCAGGACCTTTGTTTCTCATGGCTACAATAATGGGTGATTGGAAAGAAATGATAACTATTTTCCCTGCATAGTGCCTGCCCTATTTTATTCTGACGAAGGTTCTGGAGAGGCAACTTAACTGTGTGCTACTCTTCAAACTATGCAAAACTTTGAGGTGCTCTAATTGATGGGTTTCTATATAATTGCACATACCACTGGCTTAGCAGAATGCATTGCAGTGTTCTGTTCATATAGAAAATATTGATGCAAGAACTGATGGCTGGTAAGGTTGAGCCTGGCCTGTTTTAACAATGGTGAAAGCCGTAAATATGTGTCAATAAATGTTGTTTCATTGGAAAGTATTAGGTTTACGGTATTGAGCATAAGACTTAATGATTCTGTAGTTGTAAAAACAAGTTGCTTTGTAGTTAATATGACAATAAGTCTGTCTACTATTTGTTTAGGACCTTCAGATGTGCTTTAATCACTTACTAAAACCATGTGTTAATGGGTGGTGTCCATGTTTTTGTGGCTGGTTTTTTTTTTTTTTTTTTTTTTTTTTTTTTTTTTAGAATATGGCTAAGCCCTTTATATCCAAGGCTAACTAAAGGAGCAACTGGTTCTTCTGGTGAATCTGAAACTAATTTTAAATCAGACCTAATAAGTTACTTGATGTCTTACAATTCTCCTACACTCAAGGAATGGATAGATCTGATTCAAGACCATGATTTATCAGAGACAAGGTATATGTTATCTTGTGTTTTTTGTTACTTGCACATGGGTATTTTTCAAAAACTTTAGTATGTTTGTTAGGGTCTATTAGACCCTGGGTTTGCTTTGTAAACTTACCTTGTTTTAGACTTCAGTGTTCAAACCTGAGTCTAACTTTAGGCAGTTATTTAAATCGACTTTATAAAGACTATGTCAATTGACCAAGTTCTAGTTTCATAAGCATGCATGTTAAAGAAAGAAAGGTATACCAGCAGTAACTTTACAGAAGGTAGCTGTAAAGTAATAGGGACTTGGTTCCATTTAAGCCAGTCTGGCTTGAATATTTACTCCAGTAAAATTACCAGTGGAAAAAACTGTATTGTATTGGGCTTGTCATGTGAGAGAAATCATATAAGCAAAGGTTACTGTAATGGGGATTTTATTAAGAATAGGCTTCTGTACTTAAAAAGTCAAGTCCCATCCACATACATATGTATAGAATTTTGCCTGTTAGAGCCATGGATTGGGACTAGTGGGCAATCTTGTGTCTACTTGGTCTTGAAATAGACTTCTCTAATACCACGTTGCTGATACTGCTTAAAATAATTCAGGATGATTCATTTACTTCTAATGGGTACATCCCACATTTCCACTGAAATACTTCAGAAAGTGAAAATACCCTTGGTGGCTTAATAGCAGTTCTATGAAGTGACAAAAAGTTGTTGAAAATGGTCATAAACTGTGGTGGAAATAGAGACTGAAACGTTGTCTAGTTTATACATACAGTGCTTTATTCTTTACATGGAGTCTTACAAATTGGGGGGTTAAAAAAAAGTACATACTTTTTAGTCAGGTGAGCTAAACAGCCTGAGCTGCTGCTCTGATTAAATTTATCACCTGCATGAGCTTGGACAGATGGATTGAGCCCTAGCTGATGTGAGTTTATGCATGGGTTAGGGAAGAGTCACTTGTTAGGATAAGGATTGGTTCCTTGCCCTATGGAGTATGTAGGGGACATTGATTCATGGATAAAGCTAGGCATGAGATGCAGTAAGGAACAGCTTCTTAAAGCATCTGTCTCGTGGCTTTGGACAGGTCTCTTCTCTGTTTTCAGGGCAAAGTCAAACAGGTTACTAAACCACTGTTAGGAAGGCTGTTGAAAAAGCTGTACTTTGCATCTGTACTATTAGGTGCTCAAATGACAAGTCACACCTGAATCTGCTGATTTGGATGTAGGAATAGATTGACTTTACTTAAAATTACATACCAAGTTATGTGCCAAGTGAGCTATTTTTTGTTGCTGACATCACCTGTGTTCTGCTTTTCTGTACACAGAAATAGATATGGTTCCTTGTCTATGCTGTAGAACAGCCTGGTAGTGCATGACAGCCATAGAGGATGCTAATAACAAATTATACAGCTTTTCTTGTATTGTAAATTCTGTGTGAAAGATTAAATTTCTGGTTGCACTTCTGTGTTCAATCTTGCTGATAGGTTTTAATTAAATACCTTGCTACTTTATAAACCGAAACACTGCAGATTTACAAATAACTTTCTTTCTTTCTGTAGAGTGTATCTGCTTGGCTCTACCCCTGGACGATATCAAGGCAGTGATAAGGAAAAGTGGGGTCATCTTCGACTCAGAAAGGTACCAAAACTGTAACCTCTTTATTAATATCCTTTAAAATGTAAATAGAATTTGGAGAACATGCTTTGGTTCCTTTCATTTTTTCCTGCTATTATCATCATCAGTCTTCTAAAACATTGTTAGTCAGGATTATAGTTTTGTTCTACTGCATTGCTAAGGTCTTTTTTTTTTTCCCTATTTTTTTAGTCAACTGAATATTTAGAAACATGGGTTTTGGTATTTTTTTTACCTCCACCCTGTCCCCCATTTGGGATTTTTTGCCAGAATTTTGGGATTTTTTTGGTCATGAGTCAGTATACGTGACATCAAGCCTGTTGGCAACAGACAGGATGGATTCACTTGTCTCAAAGGCTACAAAGAGTTGTATGGCTGAAAGGATAAAATCAAGGTCACTAGCGATAAGCCTGGGGCAGCACAGTGGTGTTTGAGGGACAGTGTGCTAGCACAGTCCTTCAGTATGCTGTCTCAGTGGAGGTAGGGGATGGAGATCCATGTGGCTCAAAGACATAAAGGTTATTGATGTGTTAGAAATCATGAAAGTGCCTGAGAATAGTCATGCAGGCATTAGGGCTTCTCACTCCAAAAAGGAGGAGGGATCCAACTGAAGTGCATCTAAGGCAATGCATGGACCACAAATGGGAGGAAATGGAAGCCTTGCAGCAGGAAAACTGACAGAGTTGCCTCCTTAAAAATCATGGCATAAGAAATGTAAAATAAACAGGGTGGCATATGGCAGATAAGAAATTCTGAGTCACAGTCCCATATATCTAATGAATGCAAAAGTGTGTGTGATTCAAGATAACTCATCCTTCAAACTCCATTCCTTGACTTTCACTGGGTGCTCAGTTTTGGCATTTAGGATTAGAACTCACATACTAGTTTTCAAAGATGGATTTTTTCTCCAGGATGGTATCTTTACCTTACATCTCCACTACATTAGTTCTGTCCTCTTCAAAACTTCTTTTTCTCTCTTCTTAAGTGCATAGAATCACAGAATTTAGGGGTTGGAATGCACCTTACAGATCTTCTGGTCCCAACCCTCCCTGCCATGGGCAGGGACACCTCCTCACTAGATCAGGTTGCTCAAGGCCTCATCCAGGCTGGTCTTGAACACTGTCAGGGTCAGGGCAGCCACCGCGTCCCTGGGCAACCTGTTCCAATGTCTCACCGTCCTTATAGTAAAAAAACTTTTTTTCTCACATCTAACCTAGACTTTCCCTCCTTCAGTTTGAATCCATTACCCCTGCCCTATCATTGCAGTTCCTGACAAAGAGCCCCTATCCAGCTCCCTTGTAGGCCCTTCAGATATTGAGGTCTCCACACAGTCTTCTCCAGGCTGAACAGCCCCGGTCTTCATAGGGAAGATGCTCCAGTCATCTTAGCAACTTCGTGGCCTTCTCTAGACTTGCTCCAACAGTTCCATGTCCTTCTTACGTTGAGGGCACCAGGACTGCACACAGTATTCCACGTGGAGTCTCACGAGAGCAGAGTAGGGGGGAAGAATCACTTCTTTTGACCTGCTGCCCACACTCCTTTTGATGCAGCCCAGGATTCAATTGACTTTCTGGGCTGAGCCCACACTGCAGCTCATGGTGAGCTTCTCATCCACTGTCACTCCCAAGTCTTTCTCCTCACTGCTGATTTCAGTTACTTCCCCCCCCAACCTGTAGGTGTGCGGTGGGGAAGTAATTGAAAGTAATCATGGTAGGATGACTTGCACAACTGGAGTGCTGCAATGGATGGCTATAAACTCTTCAGAAGGGATAGGCAAGGAAGCCTGGTGTAGCCCAGTATGTTAGGGAGTGTTTTAATTGTCTGGAGCTTAATGATAGTGATGATAGGATTGAGTGTTCATGTGTAAGAACCAGGGGGAAGGCCAGCAAGACCCTGTTGGGAGTCTGTTATAGACCACCCAACCAGGGTGAAGAGACATAAAAAATAATCTATATGCAGGTGGGGGAAGTCTTGTGATTGCTGACGTTGTTCTCACAGGGGACTGTAACTTAGCAGGTATCTGCTGGAAATACAGCAGAGAGTAAACAGTCTAGGAGGTTCCTGGCATGTGTGGAAAATAATTGCTTGCCACAGCTGGTGAGGAAGCCAGCTAGGGAAGGTGCCCCTCTGGACCTGTTTGTGATCAGAGACAGACTGGCGGGTGAGGTGACTCGACCTTAGAGGTCTTTTCCAGCCTAAATGATTCTATGATTCTATAGATTAGCTATAACGGTAAATCTTCATACAAGATTGCGCATCTCTAGTTCTTAGGGACCCTTCTTGTTAGTTGTTTTGGGGTTTGGTTTTTTTTTTCTTTTTTAGAATTAGTTAAGGTATTCATGTCACCTATTAAATGCCTCTCATAATTGGAGAACCTGCACCTGCTGAAGTGGCATTATTTCATAGACCCACTCGTGAATTTTACATGGAGTTCTAATGCTGTTCATGGCAAACTCCTGTGAAATACAAGATGTTTATGTATCACATTGCTTTGCAACACTAGGTTACTCTTTTGGACCTCCCTTTGCCTGTTAAGAGCTTGTCCTTTCTGGTACATGTTGTCTGCATGGTTTATGCCTAGTTAGACACAAAATGAAAACAAAGCAGAAAAGGCCTGTAAAGGATTAAGATGGTCTTGTGGCAAATGTTTCTGTGATTTAAAAAGGGTTAATTTTTTGTAACAGTGCAGATAGATCTGATGATACTACACTGATGACTGGGGCCATTTAGCTATGTGTTCTCTCTCTAGAGAGGGAGAAAGGTAGCCACTACATACAATATAATATGTGCCTATATCCATCTGTTTTTAATGTAACTTGAAATTCTATTCACAGCTAAAGAACTCTTCAGAAAGGATTATTTCAATTTTCTCTTTAATTGTTCTTTTTTCCCCTCTTACTGCAGGCTTCTATTGTAGCTGGGGCTTTAGGATGCAAGTGGAATTTTATGGCCAACAACCACCAAATATACAAAATATCTATCTAGTTGTTGAATTTATTGTGGCTTCTGAAGCTAATGTTTTATGTTTCTAGGAATAGCTGTTAACGTTCCACTCGCCCATTATTTAGTGCTTGGGTTTGCTGCTTTTGGATAAAACTTGTGGTGTTTAATCCTCTCTTAAAGGAACAGTGAGTTTATTTGGAAAGGCTGATAGCTTTTTTTTTTAATTGAAAAGTTAAATATGTAGTATAAATGTTAATCTCTTTCATTATCAGAAATGAATTATAGAGGTTTTACTTACCAGAAGTGATATCAAACCGATTGAGGTTTTCTTTGCCTGTTGAAGTCTAACAATGTTTTAATTCCCCTCACTAGCTTTTGAGGGACCATGCTTTGCCAATACCAGCTCAGGAATCCTGGCCTCTTGTTGGACAGTTCTCAAGCATTGGTTCAATGGGAGCTGATGGGTCCAAATGGCTGTGCTCGGAGTTCCAGGAAAGCCTGGTGGCTGCAGGCAACAGTGTGAAAACTTTCCTTAAATGTGATGTTCCACTCCATTTGGTATGTCTTTTTGGGTGCTGGTAACTTAAATAACACTTGTTTAACACTTATTCATTTGCTTTTGAAATCTTAGTCATTGGTTTGCTTTTAACTTTTGGAAGACATTAATGGAGTTTTCATCCTGGAATCATGAGCATGCCACTTAGTGACACTTAGTCACGTATGGTATACTATAAAAACGTTCCATCTGCATGACACTAGAGTATATATAAACTAATCAAAATTCTCATTCTATAGTTTGTCTTCGGAGTTTGTAAATGCAGCTATTTCTGCTGCTGAGGTGTAACTGAACCCATAGTCATTAATACCTAAATCAAATGATTTTCTAACCTGACTCTTTGGTTATTAGCACAATTAAGGGGAGGACCATAAACAAGTTTGTTGTAGGAGCTTGTGAAGTCGAGGAGAAATTATGGTCAAACTATGCCTGTGCCTTTACCATGTGCTAATTGCTACTGCATACTCATATTTGAATCTAGCTCTTAACATCCTTCTATGATATTTTAGTCTCACCTCTCAAACACTGCAGAAGTGGTTGAAGCAGTATTGTTTGAGCCTTGCTAATTTTGGTTAGCTCTGCAAGAGCAGGGAAAAATATTAGACCACTTTTGTTACTGTCACATAAGCAGTTTTAAACTGCAGTGTAATTGTTTTTGAAAAATGAAGCTTTCAATGTTTTTTTTAATCGAGCTTTCTTTAAAGTGATTTTTGTTTGAAAATTGGCAGCTTGTATATTTAGAGCTGTGTTATTAAAGTTACTTTTTTTGTTTTCCACCTCCATGAAGGTTTATCCTACTGTGAACAATGTGAGGCAAAGTCTGGAAGGCTATCCTGGTAAGCAGACGACTCCCCATCGCTAGCTTTTTGTGGTCAAAATGTCCTGCAAAATCACTTTAGTGGCTGATGTTGAGTGAATATGAAGTTGTAATCTTGCTGAGAACTTGGTAGAATGTGGTTGACTAGAAAGGGCTTTGTTGGGCATTGATATGTGATGGAATCATCAAGGTTGGAGGAGACCTCTAAGATCATCAAGTCCAACTAATGGCCTATCACTCTGCTGTAACCTCTAAAGCATATCTTCTAGCACCAGATCCAGATGCCACTTAAACACCTCTAGGGATGGTGCCACCACCACCTCCCTGGGCAACCTATTCCTGTGCCTGAACACCCTAACAATGAAAAATCTTTTCCTAGTATCTAATCTGGATCTTCTCTGTCTCAGCTTGTTGGCTGTTGCCTCTCGTCCTCTCACTCAGGCATGGCAGAAGAGGCCACCCCTACCTCTCTACAACCCTCTTTCTGGCAGTTGTAGAGAGCCATGAGGTCACCCCTGAACCTCCTCTTCTCAAGACTAAATGTTTCAGTGTGTCTAGCTGTGTTCATACATCACTATGTAGGAAAACAGCAGCTCTTGCTCAGTGTTCTTACTCTAGTCATACTTTCATTTTGGTGGAAAATTGAGGTTTGAGTGTACCAAGTTCTCCTTCTGTTTTGTTTGCAGTGTCATTCTGCACATGAGATACAATGGAGGCTAAGATGTTTTGCTATTCATTAGTCCTTTTTTAATATTGTGATATACAACTGTTCTGTTCAGTCTTCCCATGTTTATTTTCATGAAGCCAATATATTTGTATAAGCATAGCCCTAGCCAACCTGAAACGGGACTTGGCACTGTAGCATTCTGATGCAGTGAAGCTTCTGTTAATCAAAAGCAAGTCTCAAAAAGTCAAAGCAATTGGAAGAGATTCACAAGGACTGAAAGAAAGGAATTCTTTGCTGTCTTTGGAAAGGGTAAGAAGGTGGATTTGAGGACCTATAGGTCTCTCAGCCTCACCTTGATCCCTGGGAAGGTGATGGAGCTAAGAATACTGGAAACCATTTCTGAACACGTGATGGACAAAGGAGGTGATCGGGAGTAGTCAGCATGGATTGCTTAATTAACCTGATGTCCTTCTATGATGAGATGAGTGGCTTGATAAATGAGGAGTGCACTAGATGCTGTTTATCTTAATTTTAAGTCTTTCGATGCTGTCTTCTGTAATATCATTACAACAAAGTGATGAAGTACAGACTGGATGAGTGGAAAGTGGGGCAGATTGGAAACTGGCTGAACTGCCAGGCATCAGTGACTGTGAGGAATAGCACAAAGGCCAGCAGGAGGTCAGCCACTCGTGGTGGTATGTGCCAGGCACTGATACTGGGGCCGTGCATTAACAGCTTCATTAACAACCTCGATGGTGGGGCAGAGTACACCCTTGGGAGTTTGCAAGTGATACAATCCCAGGAGGAGTGATTGATGTGTGAGATGATTGTGCTGCTATTCTGGGAGACTGTATAGGCTGGCAGGAACCTCATGCAGTTCCATAGAAAAAGACTGAGGTGTGCTGGTGATCACTAAGCTGAAGATGAACCAGCAATGCACCTGTGTGGCAAGAAGGCAAACAGCACCCTGGGCTGTGTTAGGAAGCTCATTGCCAGGGAAGCAACCTATCCTCTCTAAGGCTACATCTGTGTGATCTGAGTGCTGTGCCCACTTGTTGACTTCCCAGTACAATACAGACATGGACATACTGAACCAAGTAGAGCAAAAAGCCACAAAGATGAATAAGGGATTGGAGCATCTGTCATAAAAGGAGAGGCTGAGAGAGCTGCATAATTCTTCAGCCTACAGAGGAGAACTTTCCTGGGAGGTCTTATCAATGTATATAAATATCTGATAGAAGGATGCAAAGCACAGACAGATTCTTTGCATGTTGACCAGGGAAAGAACAAATGGCAGTGGGCATACACTGGAATCTCCTGTATTTCAATTTATCCTTAGAGCAGCAATGTTTTCTGATATTTAAATGGAACAGGTTGTTCATAGAGACTGGAGAGTCTGTTCTTGAAGGTACTCAAAACCTGACAGAACACTGTACTGAACAATGTGCTCTGTTCAACCCTGCTTTGAGCAGGGAGTTGTCAGGATGATCTCCAGAGGGTGCTTTCAGCTGCAGTGATTCAGTGGTTCTTTGGCATTGTTGTATTTTTAAACATGTGTTCTGTTCCAAGCTGGGTACCTATGCTCCTGTGTAGTATGAAGTAGAGTAGCTGTTGAACTCTTCTGACAGCTGGTGGATTTTGAACAGGTGGCTAGCAGAAATGGTTTCAGCTCTTTTTATTTTTCTGCTGAAATACACAGTATTTGGGCATATACAGAAACTTCAGCCAGAGAGTTTATAGGTATCTGTGGTTCACACAAATGCGTTAGGGTGTCTTGAAATACATCTGTCTACAGCCCAGTGACTTCTTACTGTGATTTCTTTCATATTGTAAAATAACTCAGTGAATTACACAACTCTGTGTTTGTGCAAATGAACAGCTCTCTGAACTCCTGTAGTTAATGCATTCCTGAGAGTAGTAAAACTTTTGTAATGTGTCTTTAATGGTGTCTTCTAGGACATGGTGAATGCACTAGGCTTTGCATCATGCTTTTAATACACAGAACTAATATAACTCAGTATGCCTGGCTGATTCTTAGTTAAATCTGTTTCAAGAAATCACAACATGCATTAGCCAAAGACCAAATCAATACAATTTCATCAGAGAAGTTCTTGCTTTTTAAAATGATGTTGCTTGGGGATTGGTAGTTTGTTTGTTTGTTTTCTTCTGAAAGCTGCTTGGTTTGCTTCCTCTAGCTTGTATGGGTAGTGATCCTAATCTGTTGATATCAGGTTGTATACCTGTAATTCTATAGCCTGTATACAGTTTCTCTTTTTCCTAGTGTAAATGTGCTGTGTAGTGTTTAGGAACTTGCTAAACTATGAGAATGAAAAAACCCCAACAAGTATATACCATTTTATACTACTGGAGCATTTAATGATTTCTGGAAAATAACTCATGAGGGTAGTGTGGATAGCTGATTCCCCAAGATGTTTGCTGCTTTGAGACTGTCTTTGAAAAAACCAAATGTACATGTTCTATTTTTTCCTTTAGCTGGTGGCTCACTTCCGTACAGCGTGCAGACAGCACAGAAACAGCTGTGGCTGCATTCCTATTTCCAGTAAGTAGAACCCAGTTCTTTGGGGTTTTTTTAGACTGTATGTTTAAACTTAGTGCTGTCATGTTGGAGTGTTAAAAGCAAATTCTGTGGAACGGGTTACATGCATGATAGTCTTAAACTCCTTAAAATAAAAGCCTTTAGTTCCTGATCTGCTGGTTTTCTCTCCAAAACAGCCATTTACCTAGAAAAATTATATGGGATGCTGTTACTAATCGATTGAGGATTCTGTAAACTTTTATTTAAAGTTTTTTTTCTCTGAACTAGACTAATGTTACTCTTTTTTAAATTTTCAGTTGTATTTCACTTTCCCCATGTGTGCCTCTGTATGAGTAGGATTTCAGCTGAGCCACAGCAGGGTTACGAAGGCTTTGGTTTTGTGTATTGGGGTTTTTTTTTCCCCTGAGTGCTGCAGTCCTGCTTCAAAAATTCTCAGTCCTTGATGGTAATATCTCTTGTTAGAGGTGCCTGATGTTTTCTTTTAAAAACTTCTATTTTCACGTGCTACTAGTTTTTCCAAGTTAAAGCAGTCTGACACATTCCATGCCAGATGTCTCCCTCAGGGTGAATCTTTAAAAGCTGAAACATGTTTTGAGAACAATGGGAAAAGTTGTTTTGCACGGATCAAAAAAGTATTAATAAATCTTGTAACCTCTTACAAGACCACAACTTCCCATCCCTTTCATCAGAAACTTTTAACTCTCCCAGAGTCTGTACCAGAGCAGAAGTTGGTCTCGTGAGATAATTTGCCCAAATCTAAGTAAGAGCGTGTAAAGTTGGGTATGTATTCAGAGGACTGAAATAGAATTGCTAGTTGCAGAGAACAACCTCCATTCTGGAGTGAATGTAATGGCTGCTCTGAGCCTTGCTGGTCCATGTCCAAGGAATGGAACTCGGACAGAAAGCATGTGAAGTTGTCTCCTGCACATTCCTAAGTGTGACCTCTGAGCACATTCAGCAAAGGAATAAAGCTCCAATCACCTTCAAGCTTTCAAGGTTGTTCAGTCATGATTAAGAAACTGAGGAAAGCATACATCTGGGGTGTTTGTGCAGTCTTAGCTCAGTTTCTGTAGTCATATGCCTCATGAGAATCATACTGGAAGAAAAATGTAACCTTTTTTCAGTTAGTCTCTTCTTTATGAGACCATTCATTGATTTAGTCCTATTCAATGAGAAAACACCCACATACCTGTCTCATTGGGCATGCCAGAGTCCTGCTCTGGCATCAAAAGGGCTGTTTTTACATAATGATTAATAAATTGTAATCAACTTGCAGGATTTTGCCGGGTTTAATTTTATGCCAAACTGATTTTTTAAGTTATAACCACTGATAGTCTTCAAAGAAATATTGGCCAGAAGTTTGTCTTAATTTCTTGAGTGCTAGCTGGAACGGAGGAATGGACAAACTTGTTAGGAAAACCTGACACACTGAGATGAATATGTCTGGGTTGTTTATAAGGAAAACCAATCCTGCCTTTCTGACTACTGATAAAATTGGAATTCAGGATTAACGATTCAGTCAATTAAGGTATTTTCAGCTTTTCTCCGGGAGAAATGAGTATTAAATATGAGAAGTATAAGTAGTATTACTGAAGACGTGGCACTGTAGTATGGTGAGTATTTTTTAGACCTCAAAGTAAAACTGTATATAAAACTAATTCCTTTTCTTTTTCTAGCCAATGGTCAGCAGAAGTCTCAGGTCGAACTCATGCTATGCCTCACATTAAGACATACATGAGACTCTCTCCTGACTTCCAGAAGATTGCATGGTTCTTAGTAACAAGGTAAACAACTAACCACACATCTCTCACTTAAGAACTTTACATATGACTTCTTTTGTCAACTGCAGGCCTCCATGAGTTACCGCCATAATCCACAGAATACTTTAAGCAGTAATATGAATTTTTGTCCTTATTTAATGTTTCTTCATTGCATTGCCCCTGTCAAGGCTGCAGGTTGAAATGATTGTCAGGAACTGGTTTTTGAGCTGTGACTGCCCATTTTGGGGTTCAATATCAGCTGAAGTGATAAGTATTTTTAAATACTGGAATAAGTTTCTTAAGTACATGCTGTCATATGGCACATATGTGGATGTGCTGGTTTGTACAAAATGGATATGAGTTAAGCCAATGTTATTCTTGCACTGCCTGACTGTTATGAAACATACAGGTCCTTGGAATTTGGAATCTTACCTGTCATCAGATTGAGTTGTTCAGCAGTCTGCCTTGAAGTATAAGCTTTATATTTCTGGTGCTTGTTTTTTAAAGAAGTCAAAAGAGGAAGCAAGAAATATCTTGAGGGGAGAATGTCTTGTTGTGAATGAAAAATACAGATATGTTTCAGTTTTGCCAAAACTGGTTTTGTGCAACCTTATGTTCTGTAGATGATGGTCTTTGTGTCCTTACTTTTGAGTGCTTGGTTACTTTCATCTTTTCTCTCTTTATGTTCTGTCTCTTTAAATTTCATCACTCATCAGTACTGCTGCCTACAACAGTGGTAGTGATTAAAGTGCTTTTAAAGAAGGTTTTGAGTCATTCGAATATAATGCTGAGTCCACCTAACACAGAAATTCATGTCTGCTTTAATTTTTTTCTCTTATTTTTTCTGTTCCACCATTTGCTATTATCAAAAAGTGTCGAGTATGTCCATCAGTTAAAACATTGTCCTGGTTTTAGCCAGGATG